CCCCAAAACCCCAAAACCCCAAAACCCCAAAACCCCAAAACCCCGAGTCATGGTCAAACAGTTGAGAGAGTGAAATTACTGTACTATATATCAAGAATAATTAAATTTACCAGTGAAAATATTTAAAACAGGAAACAACAGCATGTAAGGTTTACTCCTAGCAGACACATCCTCTAAAAAGAAAATCTAATCCGATAAGAATGAGGTTTGGAGCAAATCTTAGCAAACTATTCCATATGGAAAAGAACTGTATAGGTGTCACATGAAATATAGCAACTTATTTTTTATTGAGGATCTCCTTCAGTCTATCCCTGTAATTTGGCTCTTCTCCTTCTTCTGAGTCAGCATAGCCAATCTCTGGTGGAACCTTGGCCTTCTTCTTGATCCAGTCAAACTTGAAGTCATATTCAAGGTTTTTCTTCTTAAGGAGGTTCTTGAAAAGTCTCTTTAAGTCGGAGATGCATGGCTTGTCCTCAAATTGAAGGCTTCTACAGTAATTCAAATATTTAGCAAACTCCTTGGGAAGTTTAGCACAGAGATCTTCTATTGGAGTATTCTGCTTCTTTTCTTTAATCTTCTCGTACTTCTCCTTCTTAGTTTTAGCTGGGAGTCCTTGCCATGGAAGCTTTCCTTTGAGGAAATAAAGCATGACATACCCAAGTCCTTCTAGATCATCTCTTCTGGCCTGTTCGTATCCTAAATGAGTAAATAGACTGGCATAACGGGCTGTCCCAGTCAGATTCTTTCCTTCTTTCCAAGGAATGTGCTGTCCTGTCTTTGGGTTTCTGAATCTCTTGGCTAACCCAAAATCGATCATGTAGATCAAAGATGGCTTCTTGCTTCCAATAACGAAATTATCTGGTTTAATATCCCTATGAAGGAAATTGCAGGATTGTACATGTTCAATCCTTTCTAACGCCTGAATGGCAAACATGACTGTTGTATGCAGAGTAAATTTCCCTTTTCAGTATTTCAAGAGGTTCTCCAAGCTTGGTCCAAGCAAAGTCATAATCATTACGTTGTAGTCTCCTTCAACGATGGCTCCCTTAAGCTCTGGGATTCCCTTCCCCTTCAGCAGCTTCAACAGCTTGGCTTCATGCAAAAGCTGTGGATGTTTAGTCCTATTGGACTCAACTTTAATAGCGACTTCTTCATCTGTATTAGTTTCTTTAGCAACGAACACTTCTCCGAAAGCACCTGAGCCTAGCTTCTTGCCTGTCTTGTATTTGCCTCCTAGTTTCAAGTCCATTTTTTCTAATGTATAATCAAATAATATAAAAGTCACCTTTTTATAATCTCCTCGGGGTTTTGGGGTTTTGGGGTTTTGGGGTTTTGGGGTTTTGGGGTTTTGGGGTTTTGGGG